GGGCGGCCCGCTGGCCCGGGCTGTGTGCAGCTCCTGGGCAAACGTGAGAACCGCGTTTGGGCGAACCCTCCAGGAGAACAGGCAGGCCGCTGCCATCCACTGCAGTGCTCTGCACGCAATGGGCCCTCCAGTAGCCATCGCTATCCTGTACATACACGGTATTTTTAAACAGAGAAAGGCGCCTTTATTTTCCTATGTCCTTTTTTATGTTCCGAAGTCGCCTGAGGAGGTGTCCGGCTAACTATACTCAGGGAGGAGTTCTTCCCCCCACCCCTCAGGCTACCTTGCACGGTACGTGTGGAACACGGTCGGTGTGTTCCTTCCTGCCCAGCTCCCGCAATGGCCACGTCCTTTGTAATAGCGTGGACTAGGCCCACGTAGTCCTCTGGCCCTGCTGAGGGTACACTGAGGGTTCAGGCAGCTCTGTGCAGGCGCCGGTCTCCCCGAGAGCTCCTTTGAGGAGCACTGCCTGCCGATCACCCCAGGTCGTCTGCCCTTGCATTCTCTGGCCTCTTTACAGATACCAGCTGTGTTTGTCAGCAGGTCTGCTTTCGCTGCTCCAGGCCTGGACGAGTGCGCTTTCTCATTTCATCACAGCCTTTGCTGCTCAGCTTATTCATTCGCCTGGTGCCTGTCGATTGTTTGAGAGCAACCGCTGTGCCATGGCTTCGGTTGGGAAAAGCAGACAGTTCCTTTGGGTTGCCCTTGCCCGAGCCAGCCTTGGCCAGCCAGCCACCTACCCCTCCTGCACCTTCGCTCATCAGCTTTGCACTCTGCAAGCCATCACTCATCAGACTTCATTTACGGCCAGCTGGTCCCACCCATTTGGTGTGTGATGTGCCACGGCCTGAGTATTGCACACATGAGGCTGGTGCCAGCAGCCTCCACCCCTCCTGTGTACTGTGCCCTCTTCTGCACATCACTGGGACCCACCCACTGCAGGAATAGAGCTTGCCTTTAGCAAAGTTAGAGGTGGCCCTGGAAGCTCACATGGTCAAACCCGAGCACAACCACATGACAATGTTACTGGTCATTTTAAATTACTGGATGCTAGGCAAAGCCCTATTTTTTGAAAGTATATTCTTAAAAAAGGTTTTTACAGTCAAATACATAGGGAATAGATGTTTTTTTCAATTCAGAACCTTCTGATCCTTAGAAAATGCTTCTTCGGTAAGATACCAGAAATATTTATTCAAGGTCGTTTGATAACCTAAAATCTTCCATTTGTATCATCTGAGGGACTTGTTTCTAAAGCATAGTTTAACTGATACTAACTTTTCCCGTATGCACCCAGCACACTTGAATGCATTTTTTCAATGGACAAACTGGGCGATTCAGTGGCACACTGATTTTTTTTTAAGTGAAGGCAGTTCCTCATTTGTCCGCAGTAATACCACACGGTCCCCTAGCTGCACTAGGTCAGTGCAGTGCAGTTTGGACTGCATGGCACTCTTGAGAAGGCCACCTGGGGCTTACCTTTGGCCTGCCAGGCAGGGCAAAGCAGCTCCACCAGCAGGATCCCAGCCACTCCCATTCGGTTTTAAAAAAGCACAACAGATCCCGTCCCTTCCCGTGTTCCCAGTGCAGAACTGTTTCTCAAACAGCCTGTAGCTTTGTTACCCAATTTGGGGGTGGTTTTATTTAAGTATACTAGAATGTAAAGCCTTGACAGTTTGGGTACAGTGTCATATCTGCCCCATCCGCTGCACTGTATTTCAACCTGTAATAAAAATGAGACTATGTTTGCCCCCAGCCCTTTTGGTTCTCTCTTTTTAAGTATTTCGGTAGTTTTTTTCCCCTTGAAGAAAATTAGTAACAATAAAATAACATGTATGGAATGTTTACTATGTGCCAAGTATATGTGTAAAGTGCCTTTATGTGATTTAATGCGTTTACCAATGCACAAATGTATTTTAGCATGAGTCTTGAGCATTGAGGCTGAAGTAAGCACTCTGTTTTTAAATTCTGAAATCCCAGGGGCCAGCAGGTGGTGTACTGGTTGAGGTGCTGGACTCCCACATGGCCAATTGCAGTTTAAGTCCCAACCCAGTGGCTTGAAAATCCTGCTGGTGTGAGTGCATGTGTGCCCAGAGTCCTGAGAGGAGAAAGGAGGAGAATGGAGTGTGGCATGGCTATTGCCCCTTGGGGGTCACTTCTTTCTTTCTCTGTCTCTGAGCAAGCACACGTGCCCTATGACAAAAAGTAAAAATAAGTAAATAAATAAAAACCTGAACTTCCCCTTGACTGTAGCCTTGAAAAAACATGGAAGACATGAGGGGAAAGGACTAGAGACACCGAGAGTCAGGCAGTTCGCCTGTGCAGGCCCAGAATTCCCCCCACCCCCACCCCAGGGGCATCTCTCCCTCTGTAGGAAGTCTCTGCTGGGTGAGCAAAAGGAACAGGTATTGGGCATAGAGGGTGTCTGGTGGGACCCCCTCACTGGGCAGCAGTGACATCCGAGCTAGGATGGCTACCACACCAGGCCATGCAGAACTTTAGCCCAGGAGTCACATGGTGGGCTTGGGTTTGATGACTTAGTGCCATTTTACTATGAGCCTAGTTATCCATTCAAAAAAAAAGCCACTGATCTCAGTGCAAAAGCCCTCTAGTCACTGCCCAGGGCCACCACATCTTGTTCACGCTGAAATGTCCAGCTATCTTCTCAGTTTGCAGGCCAAGCCGTGAGCTGATGACAAGAGCGTGCTTTATCCTAAATAGGCCACTCTCCACAGGACTGCAACCAGGGATGGGGGCAGGACCTTTTTCTGGCTGAAACCACTGCGTGTAACCAGAACCTACATGGGTCACTGGCCTGCTTTGAAGGCCTATCAGTGGGCTAGGAGATGTAAGCCTGGGTTGCCAGCCCAGGCAGCACTGGCCCAGTGTCTGGCCTATTGCAAACATGGCGAGCAACTGATGCACATCAGTCCACATCTCCTGATCTTAGCTACTTGTATGAGAAAGCGGCCTACCTACTGGAAGCTCTGGCAGACAGATGCTCAGCTGTCCCAGGGGACAAAATGCATGACTTCCAACCTTCTAGAGAAAATGCACCTTTGGGGAGAAGGGAAGGGAGGTCAACTCATCACAAATAGGGA